TTCTTGCAGTTCCCGAGCTGGAAGCCGTAGCACAGGCGCTCGCCATGCTTCATTGGCGATAGGCCCCACAATTCTTTCGGCATCTTGATGGGCATTTTCTTCGGGGCCACCGCCTTCTCCGCCTCCTGGTTCGATGAGCTGGCTTTGGTCTTCTTGGTCTCTGCTTCACGAAGGCGCTCCTTCAACTTCTGATTCTCCCAGTGCCAGTCACTTCACTGGCTTGGGCTGGCTCATCTTTCGAGGCTGATCCCTTCACGCCCGGCAGTGGCAGCAGGATGGTCAGGAATGCCGGGTTGGGCCACAACCCTGTCCACCGCTGTGTCTGCCAGGCGCCTGCCTGTCCCATCACGGCCTAGATCTCCCGGGGTCCTAGGACATCAACTTCCATGCCCTCCTGTCCGCTGCCGCCACCTGGGACAAGGTCACACCAACATAGCCCATGGGAGGTTCTCGTTTTTATCTTTGGAACATCTTGTCGATCAGCTTTTCGCGCGCTGTGAAGCTCATCACATCAGCCACTTCCAGCGCCAGGCCCCTCCTGGTGTAGGCCTGTCTCAGGCGCAAGTCCGTGCGCGTATCGGCCTCTGGGAGCTTTGTCTCATCATGTGCTCGCAGGTGTCCTGATGCATCCTTCTTGATGAGCTCCTCCGTCTTCACATTCTGGAGTTCTTGGTCCCTTGTGGGCACTTCATGCGGTGCCAAATACCGCAGCTCCCCATCCACCCTCATGGAGTGGAACTTGTCCACCACATGGTGAGCTGGCTCAAGCTGATCCGACAGTTGCAGGTGAGCATACACTGCCTTCAACTGCGCCCACCTTGTCTTCCTTTCCACCGGTGGCAACTTTCGAGTCTTTGAGCCATCTGCTTCCTGCGTGCCCTCCAGCCTGCTCCGCAGTTCTGCGGCCACGATGGTGTAAGCCTCGTGATACAGCTTTCGGAGCTTTGGGAGATCCGCATGGTCTGCCGCCCCCAACAAAGGCCTCGCCACTTGGTTGATGAAGGCTTGATCATCACCTGAGCCTGGTGACCAGCTGCTCGCAAATGCAAATGTGCTCATTGTAGTCCATCCTCTGCGGCTCATTTCGTCCTTGTAGCCGTCCAACCCCATGTCTTTCAACTTGGCGTCAAAGACCGCATGGGACTCCGTCAACGTGGCCATGGCTTCTACATCCACAAAAACGGCGTCACTCGGGCCTCACTTGACTGCACATGAAAGTCACACTCATGCAATTCTCAGCCTGTCAAGTCCCTACTTTCTTGCCATCCTACTCCACCACCTCTCACCTAACGTCACCCCCCTCACTTCCCCGGCGCGCGCTTCCCGCAGTCCTCTGGGGGCAACCACTTGGGCGTGCAGGACCACCCCGCACCATCCGACCTTGCCGGACAACCCGGTGTCAGGTCGAATGAACTTGGGAACAACTCCCTTGCGCCACATGACTTCACTTGACTTGCACCCACTTCAGCTCACCTACGCACATCACCTCTGCTTCGCACTCACATTTTCCTCGCTGCGCTGGTCCTGGATTTCACCTGGTGTACCCTTCGCACACCTTGCACTTACTACCCCAGGCATGCGCCTCCTGTTCAAGCTTGACCATGACGGCACTGATCGCACGTCCACAAGCCAACTTGCCTGGGGTGACACTTCCGCAATGGACCGTCCCAGTGAGGCCGTGCCTGTACAAGTCCGTTGTCGCCTTCTTTGGCGCTCCTAACTTGGCCACAACTACCGCCTCCAGGTTGCGTTCGTCTTCACTCTCTTGATCTCCTGGTTCTTCTTCACTGCTCTCACTTGTCATCTCAGTCATCTCCACCAGGCGATGGACGGACTTCTCTGGCGTCCTGACTTCCATCATGTTCCACTCCTCCCCTGGTGCCAATGCCTCATCACTCTCTTCATCGCTGGCCGGGACTACCCCGGAGCTCGCAGGTGGGGACTTCTCCCACCGTTGGTTGCGAGGCGCATCGGGCTTGAACTTCCCCTCCCGGATCTCCTTGATCACGTTCGTGAGGATGTCCAAACCTTCTGCCAGGGCGTCACGACTGTAGATCACCACACTTCGATCTTTCGGCTTCACGTGATAGCCCAACAACCTCCTCACCTTCTCGGGGGCCATCGCTTTTGCCAGCCAGGACAATGCTGTCACCTTGAGGGAGTGGGCACCAACATCACCTAGGACTTGCGGGGCGCAGGTGTACTTCTGCAACAGCTCACACCGCCATATAGATGCCTCTGGAGTTGTCAGCCGCGCTTGACTCCACCCGCCTCCTGGCACTGGCGTCGGCAAGAATGGCTTGCCCACCAGCGCCCTCAGACCGGGCACCTCCTCGGCCCACTGCACCCCCGTAATGCCCTCACTCGGTGCAACCACAGGTAGGACCCTTCTTGCCCTACCGACCAGTGAGTCAGTCTTGTGGATGCTGGTGCCACCCTCCAAGTACCCACCTTCGACTTGAGGCTCCACTTCAATGCCCTGGCTGTCCCCAAAACGGAGGCGTGCATTTATGCACAACAAACAGTGTCCAGCGAAGATCCTATCCTGCAAAGGGAAGTTCTGCTCTGCTAGCACGATCTCTAGTGTCGTCACTTGCCTCACTGTCAGTGCATCTCGTTGCCGCAAAACTCGCTTGGTGAGGTAGCTCCGGTGCGCTGAACCTGTCACTCTGCCACTTTGAAGCACTGGGTCCACGTCCTCGAGCTGGATGGTGCCCTTGCAGAATGCCAAAGCGCTCCTGAAACTGTTAGCCCTGGTGGCTGGCGCTCCATCCCGTCGTAGTTGGTCGACGTACTTGTACACCTGATCTTCACTGAGCGGGAAGGGAGGTAGACCTTTTGCTCGGGCCCATCGGATGTACAACATCATTGCACTCAACCTCACCTGTAAGGTTCCATTCTTCTTCTTCTTTGCAAAGATGTCATCCAGCACATTGTCGCCTGACTGGTCGAGCGTCCCAGCTGCAGCACATGAGTGCCTGGCCTCGTCGATCACGATCTTCCAGCCCTCAAGCACCTTTGCACGCTCAGTCTCAAGGGCCTGAGCCCATGGCATCTTCTGCCTTCCATCCAGCTTGAAGCTTGGTTTCAACTTCAACTCACCTGGATCCTCTTTTTGCCCGTGCACTTCAACATCATCTTGCAGCATAGCATGAGGCCTCCAGTTGTCTTCGTCGAGGAAAGCAGTCTCCATCACACTAGCACTTCCTTTCAGCACTAGCCCTGCGAAACCTCGCTCCCATGGCATCTTCAGCTCCATGGGCACGTGCGCCTTGAGCTTCTGGATCTCTGAGGTGCCCATGTCATGGATGTTCAGGTTCACTTCTGATTCTGCTTTCCTCTTCTTGTCACGATCTTCCACCATCTTCTTGAGGACCTCCAGGGGACTGGGCTTCACCTGATCTCCTTCACTTGCAGTGTCGTCATCCATGACCTCCGTCGGCGACCCTGACCTGTTGCCCTGCACGTCCTCCATCGTCATGCTCTGTATCTCTCGGAGACGGGCCGCCTTCTCGTGTATGTCACCCACTCCAGCTGACATTGTATGGAGGTCGTCTGTCATCATCTGGAGGTCCTCTTCTCCTTCCACATCGATCACCACGGTCCCCCCCGCCACTCCACCCCCTGTCAGGGGGCCAGTGTCCTCGAACAGCTCGTCATAGTCCATGGCTGCTCAAAAACTGGAGTGCGGGGGGGACATGTCTTGCAGCCAAAATGGCACACGAATTCGACCGTCCATCAATATTATTAATTCCCTTTTTCTAGTTATCAAAAGACATCATCACTGCGTGACGGTTTGCATATAAATAACCACATATGCAACTCCTGGAGTTGGAACATCGGACAAAAGCGTTTGATTCTCGAGTCCTAATATCTGAGCCCACCAAGCGAGACGGGGGATCCATATCGATCGCCTTTCTGAGATCCGTTTGCACATGAAAACAGCCCAGCGCACTTGAAAGGACAAGGGAAACACTAGACTTCCCGTTCAACTTAAAACTCTAGACTTTGCAAGCCCAATTCACTACTGGCTCCTGATAAATTTGGACCCTACTTGGACTATGATTTTGACGCACCTCCTCCCACAAAATCAACAAATGCTTCACGATCTCCAATCACGACCACATCTCTTTCATGCCCGGTGGAAATGAACAAATCGACTTGACCGTCTAATTGAGCGGGTGCCGACCGGGTCGACGGCCGGGCCGACTGTCCGAACAGGCCTGAAGAACTGGTACCATTTCGGTAGTGGCGCGGCTTCCAGAAGCTGCAATTGCTCATCGAGTCCTCCTGGCGACAGCGACAGCACATGTGTTGTTCTTCCACATGCAAAGGGATCCCCAAGCTTTTGAAAAACAACGCCATGCCAGAGTTTCTCGGCCCGACTGCGCAAGGGACGTTGCTTAGTGGTGTTCATCAGCTTTTGTCATTCAGAGTCCCTTTTGCCTCTTATCTATAGTCCAAATGGGAGGGGGGGGGCATGCCTCTTGGGTTGGAGGCCATGCCTCTTTTTAAATAATCATAAAGGCCATGGGGAACAACGACGAAACACAGCGAACACTTTGGCCCTGAAAACTGCGACTCTTGTTGTGAAAAAGCGCTAGCACAACAAGTAAGATCATATTAAGCTGCAGAACCTGTACTATGATTGCGGTCATGCGATGTTGCCCATCTGTATCACCAACTCGTTTACAAACTCGTGGAACCGCAGCCAACTTGTTTCCCATGTTCTGATTCTCATATCTGTTTGCTGCGTTGGCTAACATTTAAACCTACACACCGCCACCACCACCACCACAACCCTCGAGTGAACCAACAAACACGGGCATCAAGGACTTTGGACTGCGCGAACGTTCAACAACCCCGCAACAAAAACACACTGCAGCTACCACACTCCCAAATCGATTGGAACAGTGAGTTGCATGCAAAATTGTGTATTGAACAATATTAAAGATCATCTAATCTTAGATTTGGGACCCAATGACCTGCCATACCTGGTTTCACACAATTTCAGGCATCAAAGTACTGAGCTGCCGCACGCTGTTGGTCGTCGGGTTGGAAGGGTTACTGAAGGTGAGGCTGCTGGCCTCAACGTCAGTGGGGATTGACGATGATAGAAGGGGAATGGGCAGTTGTTCATGGGATTTCCCATGTTTGCCCGTGTGTATTCTTCCTGTGTTTTGTAAAGTATTGTTTCTTAGCAGCTTCAGCACGTAGCACGCGCAACACTGCGTGCCAGCACGCAGTTTCGCAATGCAACCTCCAAGGACCCTGATCCCTATCCAAAATCATGCGCATGCATTTCAAGACTGCCAAAAATGCATGGGTCGTATCCCAGCAAGAAATCTAGCAACCCTGTTTCGCAAGTGGCTGCATGGACCTTAATCCTTATCCACCAAATTAAATGCGTTCCAATCCACCAAAAATGCACCCAGTGGTTTTATGGACTGGGGAAAGCGGTTGTGCTGATGCGCCTTCCAGGCACCCAGAATGCATCTCGAGGTTTTGTGGACAGGCAAAAGCGGTTTTGGCTGATGCGTTTTACAGGGCCCCAAAAATATGCATCCGCAGGTCTTGACATCGACCAAACCTTCAAAACACCCTTCCTAGCTGGCACATATGCCAATGCATTTGTCATCCCCGCCGCATTCCATACCGTGTTGACGGGTCACCATGAAACATGCATCGCGCACGCGCGTGTGTGTTAGCAGCTAACTCACAGGTGTGAGTTGTGACAGCAAGGTGGCACTCGTGATCGTGTCGCTTGTGGAGCCCAGAAGGTCGAAACAAAGAGCGGGAACATTAAACTTGCCATGTTAATGCAAAAAAACAAACAAAACGCTACTAGGGGCTCCTGGCATCGCTACTAGGAGCAAGGACGCTACTAGGGGCTCCTGGCCGTACTACTAGGAGCAAGGACGCTACTAGGGGCTCCTGGCATCGCAACTAGGAGCAAGGACGCTAGTAGGGGCTCCTGGCCATACTACTAGGAGCAAGGACGCTACTAGGGGCTCCTGGCATCGCTACTAGGAGCAAGGACGCTACTAGGGGCTCCTGGCCTTACTACTAGGAGCAAGAAGCTATTAGAAACACTCATTAATGTAAGAAAAAAACAAACAAACTTCAAAACGTGGAAGAAGCATCCTCCCGAGCGCCTGCTTTGAGTTGTCGTCATCTGACTCGCTTGCTGCAGATGCGGCTGATACAGACCTGAAATCCGCACGTAGGCTGACTGTTGATATCCAACCGACTACAGCAACTACGTTATAGTCAAGTTATATATAACATTGAACATCCTTTGCCTGCACCTACTGTCACAGATTTGGCCTCCAGATCTGCACAACTCGATGTGTGCACATCTCAAAACACAGAACATCCCAGAACTCTTACGCAGTTTTTTGTGTAGTTAGAAGATGATCCTTTCTGTTTAACCCCCAAGATCTTTGCAGGGGTCCATCGCGTCTCAGTCTCTCCAAACGGTTCCGAGCGGCCCATCGCACCAGGTGTGGGAGCCAAAGGCGTCCTCCGACTCGGACTCTGGAGGGGCCGCTTCTTGCACCTGCGGAGCAGCGCGGAGCGGCTGGAGTTCTGTTCTGCGCAAGCACGTCGATTAAGTTTTAGGAGCTGGAACGTTGGTTGATGTTCGTTGGTTGATTGTACAAAATAAGTTAAGTGTGGACAACTAACCAACCTGGTGTACAGGTTGGGGTCCAACCTGGTCGGTCAAAGCCTGTCTTTTCAAAAATGACACAACTCAGTTTTCCGAGCACAAGCAAACTGAGGGAAGAACATAAACCTGAAAATTGAAATATATTGAATATTGCCAGCTAATGCGGGGCATTCCGAACCACATCAAAGCACAAAGCAAATAGTCCAAAGTGGCCCAATGCCAATGTATTCAAAAGTCGAGTGAATGCCAGTTTGTGGAGCAAAATAGAGCTGGTCAGTTCGCTGCGAAACCACTCAACACTTGGCCACTTGAAGAAAACAAGTTGGTCGCTGGCCGGCCGCCTGTGCCTCGCATGGGCAGGTACCCAAGCGAGCATCACGGCGACGGCAGCAAGAGAGGAATAAGGCCTTAGTGCACGATGATGTTCGAGGCTTAGTGCGTTAGTGGGATAGGCCTACTGAAATGTAAGGCAAGGTTCGAAGCTTCTCTGTGGGGTCAATAATGAGGGCGTCCTTCAATGATGCAAGGGATCTAGTCTCAAGTGTTTCAGCAATTGATTTGTGCTTGTTGTGTTTCGCGGCCCATGATTTGCTTTACTGCTGGGATCATGAGGATTCGCAAGTTTTTGTGCGACAAGCTGCTTTTTTGGTCTTTTCGGTTAGTGTGGTTCAACATGATTCATTTTTCCCCCAACCCAGGGAGGAGTTTTCCGTCATGGGGCCCTCATCTTCATCTGAAAAGCATGTCCTCTCGGGACTGGCAGGAGGGTTGACTGGCGTCTGGGAGAGCTACTGATTGTAAGTTTAGCTGCCAGTTCACCTTGCAAGATGTGACAAAGTGGATTTCACAATATTTCGTAAGTGTCTTCTTCGAAACGCTCCGTTGAAGCGACGTGTTGGGATCAATATCCGGGTACATTCCATACAATTACATACATAGTCACATAATTAGTACTAGTACTAACAGTACTCAAAAAGTTTTGCATCTGGTATCCTTTTTTGGAGCACTTACTATGATCGCATATGATCGGTGTCCTTGGACATCACCGCCCCAACTACTGCTCGTTGAAAAACGACGGCCTTTCTATTTTATGTCCTCAACGATGCTTTTTCTATGTTCAATGTCTTGAGGATTCCCCATGTGCTGTGCAGGTGCAAAAACTGACAGTTCCAGGCTGCCAAGGCTGCCAAGGTACTCGCCAAAGGGACATGGAAGCCTCCTCATCTATGGAAAGGATTCCTGCGGCCTTTGCCCACCAGTCAAGGAGTCAATAAGCTCTGCCACCTCTGTGAGGGACCTGTCAATTGCTCTAAGCTTTGTGCTGTGAGCACACTTCACCTGCTGGGAGATTTGGGATTTGAGACTTCTTCGGCCACGGGAATCCCAAAACGGTAAGACTGACTCCGTCCAGGACAGTCAGTCCGGTTTTGGAGAGCGGAAATATCACGCGCGGGCAGACCGTCACGGTCTCACAGAGAGAGCCGGAGGCTGTGTGTTTCACACCGGAGGCTGTGTTGGAAAACCCGGGGTACTTTCTTCATCTTGCTGTGTGTTTAGCACGATCAAGCCACGTGTGTCGATCTTGGAGTCACTTTCTGAGACTTGGAGTCAGGTTTCTCTGCTTGGACTTTCCGCACGCTGAACCGCCTCTCCCAGCAGTTCGTGGCCCACAACGGCCAAGCGACTGAGCCACGAACGCGGCGAGTTCACGCGGCGAAGCAGCACATGCCCCCCCCCCTGACAGTTCTCCTTGCTTTCTGCCTAGGTCGATGGTATGAACATGTATGAACACCGGAATTATTCTTCACTTCACAGCCGCCCCGACGCGATATGATTGGGCAGCACCAAGTGCCAATCCAGGTCAAGTGTTGGGAGGCTAGGAGGTTCAACACAACAATAGGTTCAACAAAAGTGAACGGTGTATATAAGCTTGAAAAATCGCCTTGGCCCTTGACAAACCAAATACTCAACATGCTGAGTAGTACCATATCAACCACATACCACCTGATGCAGTGACTTCAGAACTGCAGCTTGCGCTAATCCTTGTTCTTCCCACACACTGGGTGTAAAGGTCCGGACAATGACTGGTGAGGTGCACAATCTGAATATGTGTGGTTGCAGCGTTCCACAGTTATATCTTGAGTCAAAAGGATGTACCAGTCCAGGCCAAACATTGAGCGTTGGTGCTGCTGACCTCTTGTGTGTTGTGCGCTTTTAATTCCCCTGCAAGTCATTCATTGCATCAGATACTTCTTGGAATCCAGTTTCATTTAAATACTGTACAAGGGATTCCCCTTCTGGGCCCTACTCTCATTTTAACACCAATGGACATTGCAGAATCCAAAAAACAACCAACCTCACCCTTCTGAACTCCATGTTGACTCTGTTCGGTGCATTTTCTAAGAGTTGTTCCTATCCTCTCCATACTCTCGGTCAATACTTCAACCCAGTGTTAAATGTGGGCCATGTGCGTTACAGCACATCCCATGAACATCACAAAGGCAACATTACCTTCAACTGTCAGGGTCGAAGGTCACAAATCATCCATGGGTCTCCAAACCTGCACCGTGGAAGAACAAATCACCTTCAGAATACACTGGACATCACTGCAGGCTCGATGTACATCTGTGAAAATTTCATCACCTTCCAAACTGGGCAGTTCTGGGACATCCGTGAAGCAGGATGGCCCAGACGAAGGCGGTGTACGGGACAAACAGCCTTCAACCAACCAAAGAGCGATGGCCTCTAACCTTTGAGCGATGTGGCCCTGGAAAGAGGTCATCACTTGATGCCGCCCTTGGCCTATCTTGGCCTCCATCCATGTCACATTTGCTTCCGTGACCGGTCCACACGTTCCCACGGCCTTGGCTTCAATTCGGAGCATGCCCCGCCGTTGGTCCGGCAGCTGAGGTGTGGAGAGGCGAACCTGGCGATGGTTTGTCATGAAGCTATGACGCCCTTTCCGTGCTCAAATTGAGCACGGGCAAATGCACTTTGCCAGTGCCAGTGTTGGCTTCTTTTGTTTCCCTCCAGCTTGATGAAGAGTGTTACAGGATCGAGAAGAACACTTTTTGGCGGGAGGAATGCACCAGCAACCAGTGACATTGATGGATTGACCAAATCAAAAGGGTATGGAACTGTACGGAATATTATTTGATAACACATACTACAGGATACCTTTTCTCAAATTGTAGAAACACTTAACATTATGTGTGTGCAAAAGCAACAGCAAATGACACAATGACACATGTCAACAAGCACAGCTTGCACGTAAAAGTACCGCGCACCGCTGGGAGGCGCACCACTGGGCCAAGACGACACATGAGGTCAAAGAGCAAGGGTTGCTCAGCCTCAGTCAGTTGGTGATATCCCGCAGGTTTCATTGAAATCCATTGAAATATTGAATCCCCCAGGTCTTCAAGCCTGGCAAAGGCAGTTGCTCGAATGGTCGTGCGGATCCTTTTGTTGGATCTCTCCGGGCAGGCACGACATTATGTTGTGCATATTTTAGACCACACAGTATATGGATGTACAATGGATGGGGGGGGGCATATTTCATGAAGTTCGACTCAAAATGGATTGCGCTGCTGAGAGCATCGAAGTTGCACTTTCACAGTAAATCAGGGAACCTGGATACGCCTTGATCTTTCCCCAATCTGGCCAGAAACTGTGCTAGATCTCGGGTAATACTTGGGTATGATATATATCCCACTACCATGGTCACTGCCCTTTCCCTCTGATAGTCATAGGGGACTATCCGACTATCCTCTACCGACTACTGGGACACACCACCATGTGCAAGAGTCTTCAGGTCCGTGCTCACCAATCTGGCTCTAACATGTGGGCCCAAATCAATCCGAGCATGCACATGGTATGCAAACATCTATATATTAGAGTAGACCCACTTGGCTCCTTACAAAAAAGGGAGGATTACAAAACACACAACAAGGGCATTACTAGTAGCAAGAAGCTATTTGTAAGACCAAAGTAGTCTTTGGCTTCAACCCTGGTAGCTTGGGCTTCAACCCTGGTAGCTTGGTCAGTGTTGAAAGCACCAAAGACTGCGTGTCAGCGTCCAAGATTGCTCCCCCGAGCCCGATAGCCTCGTAGACGGAGCTCACTCGAGGCCAGCCGTCTTCACTGAAGTCTCCCTGCGGACACATCAGGTAAGCAGCTAGATTGGGATGAACTAGATGGGCTTGTCTCAACATAAGGGGTATTCCCTCAGTTTGAAAGACCTTGACATGCAGTTCAGGATCGGATGAAAAGACTGACAAGCTTCCATTGGTGCAAGCAGCTGGCGGCTCAAAGGATCCTTGTCTATATGTCGGCACTGGTCAAACTCCCAAAGCGGGCTGTCCCTGGCATCGCACCTGATTGTGCTGCTGTTGAAAGTCACTCTCCGTCATCTGCATCCTGAGTGCCGAGTCAACATACAACATCAGGAGGTACAATGCAGGGTTGACTACTGGCGCACTCAAAGCATTCAGAATGTCTGATAGAAATTATGTGTCCAGATATGTGTCCAAATAGTCCAAATAGGATGTTTCAATATGTTTCATACTACTGTAATAATGTAATACTAAACAAGAAAGAATTCCTCTTTATGGTCCAATCGGTCCTACTCAAACGACACACACATTGGACCTTCACTCCGAGGCCACTGCTCCACCAAGCAGCTGTGCCGCAAGTTCCGTGGCGCATCCCGCACGACCTCGGACGGTGCACACAAAACGATTTGAATTTTGGAGAATGGACATGACAAGGTCTGATCTGCATCAAGCCAAGGGCTTTTCGACCCAGGAAGACATCTCGTCTGGGGTCTTTCAACACCTGTCACTATGACATCCTAAGGCCTATGATCACTCCGGTATTAAATTATATTAAATGCACACAACGACAACTATATTGAGCTTTCTGCTCAGCAGCCCTCCGCCGGGTTGTTGACACAGAAATGCGACAGTTGGTGGAGCAAAACACAACGCTGCACAAGACCAGCAAAACGAGACATGGCCTGAGTTCCGACGGTGAAGTTTTGGGGATACCCCGCTGAAAACTAACATGAACCCTGAAACCGCTGGTTTGTACAGGAAAATGGTCTTCCACCGGTCAATTCTCAAGTTCCATGTTTGTTTTCGGGAGTGTAGTTATTGTTTTGGAATCGGTTTTGTTTTTCGCCGATCATTTTTTCAACTTCCTGGCGGACAATAGATAACCTGTCCAGTTCATTGATAATCCAAACAAGACAGGATGCACATGTATTAATAGATGGGGTCGATGATGGTCGACAATATGCCAAACTCTGTTTAGGTGCAATAATAGGATTTTCTGTTTGGATGAGCTCATCGTATTTCAGGATTAGTATCAGGATCAGTATCGATCATGTTTGCACTTTCTGCGCATCCGTTATAATTTACAGTGTTACTATCAAATATTGAAAAATCCCCGATCTATACATAACCCACACACCAGATCTAGGCCCTTTCAACAATGGGAGAGGTACTTGACACGAACGACTCCGCAGCAACACTATGATCTTTTGGTGTAATTTGGCCTCCACGCCCTGGTGGCATTGCCATTTTGCATCTTCAAATCTTTGCAAAAGACCGCCTGGTGTGAGTTAAAGAGCAGGCATTGCATCTTCAAGCGTAAAACCTCCAGTCAAGGTTGTGAGCTCCAGCTTATCAAAATGGTCCAAAAACAACCGGAACAAACATCCTTTTGTGATAGTTTCATAGCTCATAGATCACAGTACAAGTTATTGCATGTTATTGCCACAGCCAGCTTTGGAAGATCGAAGAACGACAATCCAGAATCTTCCTGCAACAAACTGCCTGTACGCTTGAAGTTTGTTCTAGAATGTAAGTGACGTGCAAGAGCCTCAAACCGATGGCAAAAGCTCCAAGGGGAAGCTGTGCTCCGCATGAATGACCATCTTAACGTAGAGTGTGCTGTCTGGATGTGATCCTGAGACCTTAATTCCAGGGTCTCCGGTTGTTCCCCGTAGACATCCAGGCCAAAGTGAAAAACAAAGCACCTCGTTCTTCTCAATCGTTTTTTGAATTCAACCCTGCTCGCCCTGCACCCGACGAACCTCGTCTCCACCACTATGCCAGTGAACGCTGCAAAGACCCAGCTCTTTAGAAGCCGAAGTCACGACCTCGCTGCTCAATGTGAACCAAAGGGGGGAGCTGCTGTTTGGCGCCTAAATGGATCAAGTATCAACGACTATATAAGCAAAATCTTGGTCATGCAGTGAGGCTCATTCGTGAAATGTATTCAAATGTCAAAACTGTACACGTAAAATCCAATACATGTTATTATATCTTGTAATTTAATTAAGAGTTTGATTCCGCAATGTCACTGGGCGACCGTGCGCCATCGCCCACATGGCCTCGTACTCTGAGGCCCTGCGCATTGGAAGGGTCCGGAAGGGTCGAAGAATCCGCCGTCGCGATTGGTCGAACCAATGTGTCGAACAGTCGCTATAGGGATCGGTCAAAGATGTGGGTCACACACATCGAAGTTTCTTAACTGAGGCTGCGTTGAGGGGACACTCGGACTTCTTAACACCAGCAACATGGCGAACTAACACCAACAGCAAAGCAATAGCAGCAGGAACAGTGAATAGTGGTAATTAGTAGCAGCATTCGTCGCCGTTGTCATCGTAGTAACTAGCAGTGAGAAGCGCTAAGTGCCTATGTATATTGGTCAGCCATGGTCATAGTCATGGGAGTTGGAGCTGAAGAAGGCCATTGTTTTGAGTTCAGCTTCAGTGGTGTGTCTTATATAGTTACATATTTATTTGCACACATATACAGTAAATTACAGTAATATACAGAACATATAAATAAATATCGGTATATATACACAACACAAACAACACATCACAAAACACGTCATGTATATAATCCTATTCAATTGCGACCAAAGATGCATCACGCCTTCCGGAGATCGTTGGGGCGAACTTCCCTCATGGCTTGCTCTGGGTCCATCTCCGACCTGCTCGTTGGTCTCACAGGGTCTCTTCCCAGCGGGCACCCTTCCGTACCAGGATCCTACCCACGGGCCAGCGAGAAAGTCCCTGTGATTAAAAAGGAGTGTTGTTTGGATATGGGCAATCGCCATCCATCAATGCGGGCAAAAGAACAATGCAATCCCTTTCGGGCTTCATGCAGATCTTTGCCATCAAGGACAATCGGTTTTGGCACCCCAAATCTCAGTTTCACAGAAGTCAAAGCCGAGGCACTCCAAGGCTAGAATCACATGGCGCTTGGCCACAACCTGTGAGATGGGAGGGAAATGCCCACAATCTACCGCAACGCTGCAATGACTCAACTGGAGAAGTGGAGATGAAGATACAAAACACAACGATTTCACAAAGATCCTACCAATGCATAGATGTTGCACACTGTGTTGCACCTATTTCATAGATGTTCATGTTCATAGATGTTGATAGTCATAAGTGTTTTCGTTTTCGTCCCTTCCACACCTCACAGCGATAGACAGCCAGGCCAGGGCCCGAGGCCAACCACATGGTGAACAGGCCCCCGTCCTGACGGCTCACCACGTGAGCGAAGCACAGGTATCAGGTACTGTGAAGAAAATGGGATTCAAGTAGTTGGGCCTGCTTGGACCCTTGGACTGCACCCAGCTTGCTTTCAGAATTCTTGGGTCTATCTAGTTAGTATCATGGTCCATCACCCAGAAACGTGCTTGGTACATGCTGAAACCTTTGCTGTAGTGATATGTTCTTTAGCGGCATATGGACCATGACTTCTCAAATCGATTCAAAGAAACAATAAAAAAAGGGTATGATACCAAACCTTCCCACTGACCAACTTGGAATCGGAAAATGCCCCCGAACACTCGAACGAAAGTTGGCTTTAACAGGTATAATACATAATATTATAGGGTGCTAGCTAAGAATCACTATAGGACATATTGGGACCATTGCCCCATCCCATTTCGCATGAACGTGCTCGCGGGTGTTCCACGAGGCGTGCCCGGCTCCTGCACTGGCTTCACAGCCGAGCGCTTCACCAGCTGCTCCTGGACTCCCCAAACAATTCCAGGCGAAAAGGAACACACATAGAAACACGGAGTTGTTGGTGGAAAAAAAATAAATAGATGTTGCGGACTGGGAACAGTGGAACTTATCCCAATGGTCCATATAGTCATTTTGAGCCATACTCAAGCTTGTTCTGGGCAGGCACTGGGATTGTACCTTTCAGGATTCTATATACTGTATATAACATAAATCATCATAAATCTATGATTGTCCAAGGTTGTGTCTGGTTTCCCATCAATCCACCGCGTTGTTGTTGTACGTGTGCTCCCATCCGCCACACCTCGCCACTGTCCAGCATGAGGCGAACCATACCAGCGACCTTGTGCTCTCCCGCGCCCCCGGTGGCAACAGGGCCAATGCCCCGTAGGTGAACGCAGGTGTTCCACCAGTTTTGGCATCGGTAGAAACGGTGTAGACCTGAACCCAGTATCCCAGGTTTTTGAGACACATTCGACCTGGACTTCAAGCAGCGAGCGACTTCGAACACCGCCGATACTTGTATAATCCTAGCGATCCTAGTTGGCTTTTGCAGAGCTTTCGCGCCCTGCGTTTCTACCTTCGCAGAAGGTGTGGTGCTATCTGGAGCTTTCGCGCTTTCTTTCGTGACGATTCGTTTTCGATTGGTTGACTGGGATAAGAAACATAACTTTTGCGAAAGCTTTCGCAACACTAGTTCTTGTAGGGGGCTTCGCGGGGCTTAGGCTTAGGCTTTCACACACCTTTAGCAACCTGCGTTGTGGCTTTTGCGAGATATGAGTTACAGTTTGTACACTTATCATCATGAAGTTGCTCCAGTGTGGCCACAATTTTGCCCAATGTCGTGGCCAAACTTGGGGCCAAACACGCCCGTTTGAGAGAGACTGATGCCACACTTTTCCCAAAAGAACCTCCCTGCGGCAAAACTTGTGGTAACGTCCACAAGTCACCCTTCAAGAACAGGTTGGTTGTTTGCAACACCATTTACAATGTACAATGTTGCACCATGCACCACTGGGTTACTTGATGTTACTCATCAATCCCTAGCTGTTGTGCCAAAGAAACTGACTAGTTGGGTGTTCAATGCAACACGTTACTACTCTGCAATCTAGTCGTTTCGAAAGAACCTCAAACCCGCAGAGTGGACCGAACGGAACCCCCCTGGCTGATCAGAGAAGAAACTTCTGCGGTTGGTTGAGACTACATTTGCCTATCAACAAATACATACAGATATATATACAAATACTAACCCTAATGGATTAGATCAGACCTATCTAACCCCTGCTCCCGACCACCAAGGAACTCCAACACTGCTAGTAGCAGTCAACAAAATGTCTGGCACTCTGGGTGGCCGAGCGAAGCCCAAGATGGTCCCCTTTAGCACCTCCGTAGCTTCTTCAGGATGATGTAGATCTGTGGACCATTGTGGCGCGATCGTTCGTTTGGTTCAGGTAGCAAAGGAAACAGCAAACATGTGTGACTCTCGACCCAGGAGCTATCGTTGATGTCCGTTCATCAAAACATGGTAGACAAAGGTCTAGCTGGAAGAATGTCTCATTGAACATCATTGAAGACCCCCAGCCTAAGTCGTCCAAGTAATCCACTGGGATCTCCGCCAGCACCGTGTCACCCACCTGCCAAAAGCGGGTGGGACCGGTTCATGTTCGGCATCTCCAAATGATCAAAGCAACCAACAGCTGAGGGAGGCAGCCAATCCAGGAAAATCGACATGCAATCTGTTTGTCTCACGATTCTCCAAGAGTCTTGCAGGATTCCATCGTGGTGCAGGAGATCCGTTAATCTAAAGAATAGAAAGGAAAAACATGTGGTTCCGAGATATCTTTTGGATGTCAACTTCATGTCCCAAATGTCTCAACCAATTGCAGGCTTGCAAGTTCCAGATCTTCAAGGCATTGAAGGAAATATGGTGAGATGGCAAACTGCAACAGAAATCCCTACTCTGTTGCTGGAGAATGCCCCTGTCTAGTAAGGGGTCCAGGGTACATCCAACATCATCCAACTCATACAACTGACCTGTGAAGCAAATGCTCCATCTGACAACCCCTCTTCCTATTTTTGTCCTCGTGTTGGATCACGCAAAGTCCTCAAACCCTGTGCCTTGACATCCAGCGAGCTGCGCGCAACGCTACTGGGCTCAATGGCCAAGATGTGCCAAGTCCCAAAAAGCACCTGGTGCAGCACTGTCATTGGGGTGGCTTGAGGGGTTCCAAGTCTGCTGGCTGGGCATCAACGACTGCTGGTACTGTATAACTGATTACAACTCCACAAACATGGGGTGGGCCGAGCTGATGTGGAAACACCTTCAGGGACAGGGCAGGTATTTAAACAAATAAACACTTTGCGGGACAGGAAGGATGAGACTTTGGTTCCATTACATCGATACAAACTCATTGGGGTGAACATGGGTGAACCGTAGCTTCGCACGACAGTACACCAAGTGATTCCTGTCCGTCGCCGAGCCGGACAGCGGTCTACAAACGAAGAAACACGTTGAAGCACCGTACTGGAAATTGGCCGCAGCTACGCTAACCACTGAAATACCTCCCCGGTACCAGTGACCAAATAAGCTTTCTGCAACACTGGGCGGCCGATGACCTCCGCTGGCACAGATGACCAAGTTGAGGTGGAGTCAAAGAGGGAGGATTGCCAATGGCCTGAAAGGTGCAGGTTTGCGACGAACATGGCGTGCTTCAAACAGGAGAAATCTGGGCAAAGCCCTCAAAAGAATAGGCGTTGACATGCTTTCGCATGTTTTTTTCTTTTCCAGTGATGGAGTATCCATATCATAGGATTTGTACCTGCACCTACAAAACGCACCAACTACAGCACTATCAACAGACTTAGGGTATTAGGTTTTCGGGCGTTTAGGGCGTAAGTATCAAAGTCGGCTTCGGCTGTTGTTCAAACGGAAGCTTTAAACATTTTGTCTATAACACTACCATCCAGAAGCCAAAGTCTGATCTATATCTGCATGTCTAAAGTCTTGAGGATTCTAAAGGGTGTTGTATCGTTCTTTTGTTACAGTGGATTTGTCTGAACTTGTCATAATCGTATAAGGATTATAAGGCCAGTCATCAAATTGACCAATCCGGTGCCAAAGCCTCCGCTGAACTCCGCTTTTGAAAACTGTTATTCACGGGGGCTACTGGAGGAGTGAGCAATTTTTTTCTATAACACACTCGGATGCTGCATGCTCAAAGTTTTGGGCTGGAATATTATGCCAGAATCAAAATCAACGGCTTCAACCCCAAACTACAAATCGTGAGAGCTGCATCAGGAGCCCTAAATCCTCCTCCCAGCTGACAGGTTGTATATGCAACAAAAATACAAACATGATTTTGCTGCCGAGCGTCCTTTGTTGTTTTGACCTGCGGAGCAGCGCCTTTTGCCCCTTTTGAGATCTAAATCAAGGATCGATTCGGGCTGTCAACAATAGATGAATCAATCATCTTGAACGGGCCTATGGCTATGGTCAGACCTGATCCACCCAAAAGCCTAGTGAAAAGGATGGTCTTTTTGCAAGGAACATACTGAGAACGGGGCAAGAGGAAAACAAACAACTGACTACTAATGTGACTAATAAATAGGGTTGCTGTGGACACTGAGGGCGGGCCAACTCCAAAACGGGATGTACCTCTCGGCACCCTATGTCTGAAACATCGCTTCAAAAGCTTGAAATGGTTCGATTGATTCCGCTTGTCTTTGTTATTAGTAGTTTCTTGTTACTAGTAGTAAGGCCAGGAGCCCCTAGTAGCGTCCTTGCTCCTAGTAGCGATGCCCTTTGCTCCTAGTAGCTACTAATTTCACCGCGCATCTCCTGCAGTTCCTCTTCATCGTTCCTTTTGAGGTCACCAGGATACACACACTGGAACTCCTGAGGCCCTGCCTTCTTTTGAGAACCCACGAAAACCAAAACATATCTCAATCACTATCTCAATTGCCCGGGAGCAATCTGCACCAAACGCCTTTCAGTGAACCTCTTCCATACAAGGCATTCTTAGCCTCTTCCCTTGTAGCAAATCCTCAGAAGGCCTGCCCCAAAGCGTCGGGGTTCACCTCAGCATTGACTGGTTTGGTTTGACATCTTCGTGCCGCCCCGGTAGCAATCCATTGTAGGTTGTGGGTTCCCCCGGATGCCCTTTTCTGCCGGCCTCCCCAGCGCAGGCGCTGAACCTGCTCAGTTTTGCTAGCAGTTCTCGGCCATCAAACGTCTTGTATATGAAAACACATGAAAAAAGCGACATCTCGAGCTAAGTAACCACAAACTCACCAGTGCAGGGTAGAACGCCGCTGCTTCCTGGTTTTATTGGATCAACATGGAAGAATTATATAAGCAGGTTGTCATGCACGGAATAGTGCTTCTATACCATGCCGACGCCGCAAACTTACACAGCCCCCGTTGGTCTTATCAAGGAGCATGAATGATCCACCTCTCGGAAATAACATATCGCCAGAATGGCTATGTGCAAATGCCAAAGCAAACATAACCTCAAAGTATCGCAGGCCTCGACTCGCATCACTCACATATCATCAAAGATCCAGATTCCAATGACAAACCTAAGGTACGGTATAGAGCTATATAGCACTTATGATTATGGAAGTGTTGCTAGTTCTCTCATAACTGAGTAACTAGTAATTACATGTAATTACTCTGTATGCCGCACCAAAGACAACTCTGAAACTTCACCGTGAGGGCCACTTTACACGTCTCGCGCCAAGCACGTCTCGCGCCCCTTCGTGCCTCGAGCCACTTCTTGGGTCCCTCCCCGAAGTTCTTGGGCTCCGGGAGGCCTGGGGGTTCCGACGTCCGAGGACCCGGGCCCGGGCCTGGCAGTCGGACGGGTGCGGTTCTGAAAGTGCACACTGTTGATGTTGCAAGTAGAAGCAATAAGCTAGTAGTAACAAGTGCATCGCTACTAGTAACAAGTGCCTTACTAGTAGTAACAAGAAGCAAGTAGAAACAATAAGCTAGTAGTAACAATATCGACAAGTGATCACATGTGATCACTGTGATCACTTTGTCAGGAGACCCATCACATCTATCGTGTCACATGCTGGTAAACAATAGAACCACAACAGTAAAAGACACCCTGTGCAATACGTGGTCAGGTCATGAGAAATAGAGAAACGACTGGCAACACCAAGGGTTTGGGATGGGTGCTACCACCAAATTGGCAAGCTCCGTTGGACGTTTGTTCAATCATATCACACACTTCACTTGCCTGAAAAAGAAGGACTCCAAGCTTCTAACAACACTAAGCTAACTGCAACTAGCAACATATAGAAACTGAGAAAAGCCTGATTGTGAAGTTCTGAAGGGAATCCATCATCCTCTCTGGCCGGCCTCCAACTTTCCCTCAAATCTTTCCCCTTTGGACCCCAGGTTCCAACCCATCGTTCCGTTGAGCGCCGTGATCCCGGGCCAGCAAGATCCTCCATATCATCCATCTTGCGCTTGTGGTTCTGCAGGTTCCATCCATCGATCGTCCATCCAAACCGAAGGAACAGCTTCCCAGGTCCGGGTGGTTTGCTTGGAACACTTGGAACGAGTGATGGGTGTCCCAGTGTTTCTGCTATTCTGCAAGCTCAGGGGGACAACATGTCATGTATGGACCACTCTATGGAGCAGTAGTGAGAGTACCATCTCGGTAGCTGTTAGCAACCCGCAGGAGCCTCTTAAACCTACTTGGTCACACCACCCACCCGGTCTCCTCCGAAGCCTCTTCTGGTTGGCACCTGGGCAAGCAACTGAAGGGCATTCCCCAGCTTAGCTGCGGAAGTTGAGATCTAACGCCTCTACGGAGTTCTACACTGGGATGTCCGACTACGTACCACAGAATTCGCAAACTCCACCGAACCGAGTCCCCCGACTTGGTACGAAGCCAGGCATTCAAGCTACGCTGCTTGAAGTGGTCCTCAGTGCCAAGGCCAACAGACGCCCTCTTCTGACGCTACTGGAAGCTTGCTATACTATCAAACAAACACACTGTGCTTGGTGCAAGAAATTACATATGTACTTCAAAACACCTGAGAATTGTTTTTGTTTCTTTTTTAAACCAACTTATGGCTGTGACTGAGTTTTTGAATTTCTGGAAGTGATATGGAAAAACCATTGGGAAGTCAGGAAGCAAGCATCCTCCTCCACCAAGAGATTTTGCGCGCATTTGCGCTCTATGGGAATTACACTGCGTGACCAAATTATTTACAAACACTGCTGTAGACCCACTCATGCCTTCCTCCATTGCAAAGCTGTTATCTAACAAGATCGAAAACATGTGTTTTTTTTGCGGGACCTAAAACAGTGTATTGTGTTTTTTTTTGCGTGTGTGCGTGTGATTCTAGTTCAACATGCATCATCCTATTGGCCATCCTTTTTGGTGCTGCGCCTCACTTGGCCTCGCTGGCACTGAGCTTCCCTGACGTTCTGCTCGGCCACACGCTTGCGAAGCCATTCGGGGACCTTTTAAGGCCGGGCTCCGTCCAACACGGCGGGCGCGGTAGGCCACGCGGTGGGTGCGGCCATTGAGCACGGGATACCATGAGCTTCAGAACTTGTTTGGGACAACCAATTAGGGCAAGTCACAGCTGTTGAATTCGCTTGAATGAAACGGAGCGAATTAGCAAAGAGCGAGCAAACGACGCACATTTTGATTTTTGGTTTTGCAGTCACTCTGACAGCCACTTGCAGCCAATTGCTCAGGTTGCTACTTGGCAGCCACTTGTCACTCAAGCAAGTAAATTTCAACACTGTACTTTGAGTTCTTTATGTAAAAACTAAAGTTTCTTTGTCGCTACTAGTAGCTCAGCAGAAGTTTGGAATTTAGTCTCGGAAAAGTCTTGGATTATTTCATGATTTCTCCACGCGCAGCTCGGGAGAACACCGGAATTTCTTCGCAGAACAGCATTGCAGAAATCTTGGAACTGCGCGCGGAGAAATCATGATATTCTCCGGACAGAAGTAGCAGTCACTTGCAGCCACTTGCAAGTGGCTGCAAAATGGAAAATCAAAATGCGCACCTCCTGCGAGCTCAATGCGAATTAGTGCGTTCTCGAAGTGAAGGACACCAAATGCATATACACAACCTCTCGATGTGCTGCATGAAATCGTACAGCCCTCAGGAACGAGGACATTCCAGTAGAGGACGAGCGGTGGATGCCGAGCGGTGCAGAATACTGGGTGCTGTTGTGGGTAGCAGGACCTTGGATCTTCGATGCAAATCAGATCTCAGTACCACAGCACCAAGCATGTTTAAATCCCATTCTCCCCATGCAACCCTTTTGAGTGGTGAGGCAAGTGTGGGAGAGCAAGCAAACACCCGACCAGGAAGTGTGGATCAATAATTCACCGCCAACAAAATAATCAATTGCCAGTATATCCACAATGCAATCTCATCCAAAACTTCGAAAGTACTACCTTGTGAAAGTATGGGCGCATATCTAATAAACACCCACATCATCAGGTATGACACAGCGTGACATATTCACTGATGTGTTGTCCAGGCACGTCGCATTCACTGGCGACCCCCAAGTAATCCATTCTGCCAGAGACACAGCGCCTTGACGCGTGGGCAAGGGTTCGCTATCTTCTGGTAGGCGGCCTACCAATGAGCAAACAAACGTGGCTCTCATCTATCTGCTCTGTCGGGGAGAGAACTAACCAACTAATGAATGAGATGTGATTCCTTGCACGAGTGGCAATAACATTCAACAAAATTAAATGTTTAAATATGTTTAATTACAAAAAGACAACTAGACGGGAGGCATTCCTAGATCATGCACAGCTCATCCCTGGCATCGCTTTCTTCGGTGTCAGGGACGTTCGACGTGGAGCCTCCCGCGGCTCCGAACTCGTGCCACCACACTGTCCACCCCTGGAACGCACACCGGAATGCTGATGAGCTTTTGGAAGACGGCACAAAGGCGTTCCTGGCGCTTGAAGCGTCAGTGGCCCTACAAACATCCCTGGACCATCCTACACCTCTTGGGATATGGCGAAAGAACAACCTGCAGCATTGACGTTGTGTGTCGAAGGTGCTTTTTCAGACCCATAGTTTGCGGTTGCCCTCCCTTCGCATCACTTGTGCCAACTCTTTAGCGTAGCAGCGTAGCCTGATTCTTTGGCAGTCAATGAATGAGCGAAGCTCTGAGAATCAAATTACCAACCAACGCATGTCATGTCCGCGGGACTGATGCCTTTTCTATCCTTTGTGTGCAGATCCTAAGATTATGTGAGTTACAATCAATGTAGAACATACATGAAAATACATGTTTTTAAAAGTCCGCTCTGCACTCCAACCTAGAAGCGATGGCCTCCAACCGAATAGTGATGGTCTCCAACCTAATAGCGATAGTATCCTCCTACTGCAGCACTCTCTAACCTGAATATACACGAACAATGTGGGCCTAGAGCGGAGCGTTGGATGTTGGTTCTGATTCTGGCTCCCTGTGACGACAATTCTTTCTGCACTCAAGCCCATCGGTTGACCTTGCAATTCCCTCAGCAATCATGATCTCTGCCTATCTACTTTCGGGACTTATATAATGACTAAAAGTAACTAGGTCAGTCAAGTCCATCAGGTTGGATAACATTGACCGTTAACCCAATCAGGGTCCTTGTAGTAGTCCCAGTCAATGATTGAGCGCATGTCAAAGTCTGTGAGGCTGGAATCTTGAAGCCACTGGCGTAGCCAGACCTCGCAGCGCTGTGAAACCTCCTCCCCTGGACTCTTTTGTACTCCCTTTTGGAGATTTCTTGTCGGGCAAAAGTGGACCTATCCTTGTCTATGGATGCCACCCAGTTGTTCAACTCCGACAATGACCCTCTCAACAGGTTCTCTGAAAAAAGACACACTCAACTGTCGATATTGTATTGAGATTAGTCAGGGTACACTCGACACCGTTAATGTTATAAATTGACTACGAGTTGATGTACGACGATTCCTGTTCCTCTCTCCCACAAAAACACCGTGGTATAGCATCATGTCATTGAAGCTCACGCTCTTCCCAGCCAACTGTGCTTGTACTTTTAGACACTGTGGTGCCCAAGCTCAAAAAAACAGCTGCTAGGTCCAGAACTCCGGCTAAAATCCCAAGAACCATTGTGTCACCCTTTTGGAATTCAAACATCACATTTTGAGATTTGAGTCAAGAGATATCAAGAGCCTGAAGTTCTGAAGTTCTGAGACATGATGCCGGAAGACTGCATCCCACAACGGGTCTGGCTAAGAAGACTGCCTCATCCCCGCCTTCTTGACCGCTTCCTCTGCGAAAAAGATCTTCACTGGAATTGCGCGCTCAGTGCAACCTGATGCTCACTCTGTGAGCTCTGTTTCTCTCTGTAGGTCCACATGAGTTAGCTGCAACACATCACCGATTCACCTCACAGCCCACGTCTTCCGCACATCCAACACATCGCTCTTCCCGCATGCCCAATTCAAGCGGAACGTGACCGTCTCCTAGGTCTCCCTGGCTGGCACCCACCGGCTTGTTGGCGATGAGCATGTGAGCACTGATCCCTTCCGCCTGCAGCGAAGCGATGCGCAGCGCAGATCTGCAAAATCACGAGGGAATGCCACTGAACAAAAATGGTCTGAGACAAGAATGCCCGCAAGAATCACAGAGTTCAGAACCCCATGGCCCATGAATCGTCATCTACAACTCTATCACGACATGCGAATATTCACTGATTCACCAACTAGATGATCTATGGATTATCTAATTATAGTCTATAGTCTATATAGATGATCCATACACGCTTGCATATCCTTACCCACCCCATCCCTGCCCTGATTTCGATGCCTGCAGCATGGAGGGCACACCCAAAAATTCGGCCAGGCGCCGCACAGTGGTCGCCTGGCCGCGGTGGCCGCAAGGTTCGCAAACAGCCTGATTCGCACCGTGGGTGTGTGTGTGTGTGTTGGTGCCTGGTGCGCACCAGGCGATCCGAGCTGCTGCGGAATTCAGGTGACGACAAGGCTTGAGGCCTTTTTGAGTAAATAGGATGACTTTGTGAGGCACTTGGTTCAACCTATCCAAATGGGGTTGCGATGATTTTGCCCAGTGACCTGGTTCGTGACTGAGGTCTATAGACGCATGGTTCTAACATATTCTAACTGCTTGCTTTGGCCGACATATTATGACTGCGGAGGTAACTGAGATATTGGTCCAATTGAAGTGCCCTCCACAATGGGACTTTTGACAGGAGTGTTCATTCCTTTGATGAGTGTTCCACCGCCACAAGTCCTCAACTGGCCGAAAAGTCTGAGAGTGCTGGCACTGGCTGGTGCAAGAACTACAGGATGGCAGGGAACAGGAGCCCAAAGATATTGTTCATCCAAATTGGCTGTCAGAAGAAACTATTCACCTTGGATTAATTAATCTAATCTACCATCATCCCTCAAATTCAATCCCTCATGCCTCATGCCTCATGACTCTCATGTCATATCATTCATGTATATCTTGAGGCCTGCGGGTGTTCCTTTCCAATCTTTTGGCATACACATCACTGATTTGCATGGTAAACACATCACAACCGAAACACAACATGAAGCAAGGGAAAGACACATCCAAGACATTCTGACGGACTTGCTCCTGCACACATTTGTAGCTTCCCACAGCTTCCACGGACTTGCTCATCGTCTTGTTCTCCGAGAAGAAGTGGATCACCTGACGCACGGCCCAGGAGCGACTCCTGGATGTTCCTGGACTGCCTGGACCCAATGGTCTTCAAGCATAAATACGGTGAAGTCCTTGGGACAACTTGGAAAGGGCTGGGACATGGCCAATGGAACCACACCAGATTTGAACAGCCCAGTGACCTTCAGGTTTGCAAAACCGTTTATTGCTGGTGGTTCATATTGTTTCATGGTGGGAATCTCTTTTCTGGCTCTTCTTTCAAAGAGTCTCCGAAACAACAGAGTCTCCGAATGGCTGAACCAGCGGTCTTCAAACAAGTCAGCAAGTCTGGAGATTTCAACTCTCGTCTAGTTGAAGAACCAAAACACAAACAGGAATAAATGAATCACACATTGACATCAATTCTGGGCCTAGCCATACACCATGTAGCTGCCAAAAACACACGCACCACACCTCGTCATTTGTCATGGTGCTCCCCCTAGATTCGATGACGTCCAGCCAACGGTTGGCCATGGCACCAACAATCTTCCAAACCTGGCACCAGGGAACTTCATGGAATGGCATTTGTCGCTCTGAAACTTACCTGGTGAGCTGTCCAGGAAAAACATTTACAAGGTAACACGAAGCACTTCGGGTTCTGGCTACTGTCAATATGGAGTCTGGCACCAAGTAATGTTTCAACTGGGTCAAGCTTGGTTCACTTCCAAGTTGACACACACACACACACATGCATGCACGCACGCACACACACACACACACCACCGGTACCTTAGTCAAGAGACAGCCGCTTTGCAGCACAGAGTGTGACCGGTTGATGAGTGAAACACCACACGGTCTATGAAAATCGGCAGAAGCATAGAGTGCCGACAAAGAGTTCTCCAGAGTTTGCTATACATGACCAAACCTCAAATAATTAGACTTGCAAAAGAGAAGCCAATGAACATGCAATCTACAAGCAAAAAACACTATATATATATATTATATTGTACTGTATTGCATTGGTCAATGGCCCGCGTGGGGGGTGTCACGCCTCACAATCAGCACCAAGAACAAAGCGGACACTCGCCATGGGGTGTCGCGTGCCATTGGCGCCTCTTCCTTGCTTTCGCCTTTCAGAAACTCTGGAAAGACCTCCGTCTGAAAGACCTGACCACGAAAGATGCATCGGTGTCAAGGGAGTTCCAGTCAAACCAAGAGTTACATAGAACCCAACAGTGACACATCTTTTGATAGCAACAGAACATGCTTGTTAGGATGGTTGGTACATAGGTGGAGGGTTAATTGAAAGATAACCTCTCTCGAATGGTCGTGGGAAGATGGCTGGCTCTCCAAACGCAATACTATAATATGACTACATGGAATATTGAAATGATATAGGACAGTAATATTCCACTACAGTAATACTATCATAATATTACTACATGAGCTCTGCGAGTTGCCAGGAAAACTATGGCACCCCTTGATCTCCATTGACAAAGCACGACACAGCAGGCCGGATACCCCATCACGTTAACAGAAATGTACCATGGAATCCATGGAATATCTCTGCACCACACTACAAAACCAAAGTGGACCTTTTTCAGTGCGCAAGACTGAAAAGGACGCTTCCGCTAGACTCTAGAGCATGTCATATCCCATGATCTGAGGGCTCATGTTAATGTCCATCTGTGAGGCTGCACACGTCTAGGTTGGAGGCCATCGTATTAGGCTTCACAAGTCTGTGACCCTTGTCTGTCGGGATCTCTGCGCCTGGATCAAGCGAAGCTCCCCACGACGCTTCACCTGAAGAGCCGTTTTCTGTGGTTGTACCGGTGGTCCGAAGAAGTCTCCCACAGGTCCCACAGCGGTCCTCCAAGGGTTCCTTTGTTGAGACCTTGAGCAGAGTCTTCAACTTTCCTACATATGTATGTCCTACTATCTAGCTGGTGGCCACTATAGGTTTCTTTGATGTTCTTGGTAATAGAATTACTGTACCTTTAGTTTCACAGAATGTTAGGGTGCTCATTCGCCAAGGATATATATATATATAATATATGTATAGGCCCTCAAGCAATCTTAGGCACTCGCAACTATAGAGACAAACTTAAACTCAAAAAGGCAGAAGACAAGCTAAAAAAAAACATATTGCAGCGCCGGAATTTGCAAGCAAACCCCACTGTTGGGGTGTCACTTGCTTGAAAACGTCGGGTCACCCGTCAACGCGCATGGCACGTCGGACTGAGTCACAATTGGGACCTCTGTGGGTCCTCTGTCTGCGGAGCTTGTGTTTCATTGATGTGGGATTCTGGCAAAATTGCTGGGCTCATTTTGTAGAAACCCAATCAGCATTTGGTGGCCAAAAGTCTTGGTCTCAGCGGCCGCACCTCAAATCCCTTGAGCTCCGCCAAGGACCTGAGATGCTTGGCACTTGGTGTGTTGCCACATCACTTACTGACACAAGAATCATTCAGAATGACCTAGAAGACCAAACATGGACATCAGGGTTTTCCGAACAAACAGTCAGAAAGGAAGAACATGGAAGAACATACGCGATTTCTAGCGATTTGGCATCTTTCAAAACAGTGAGCAATTCCAACTCCACGGGCTGTGTTGGAGAGGATGGTTGAGACAGCCACCTGCTGGTGCGATTTCGGCTTGCTTGAGCTCCCGGTAACTTCCACACATCTATATATATATATATGAGTTGACATGACAATATGCACATAGGATTCTCGAGAAGAGCGAAGTATAGCGAAATGGTAACCGCATCATCTCTGGGGTTCCTTTCCCATCGAAATCGTAGACCGCATAGCGCTTTTTGAGCATCTTGTCTTCCTTCAAAGCAACGAACATCAGCTCAGCATCGGATAGTCTCTCACAGTCCCTGCAGTACCAAAGCTCTTTGGCCAGAACATTGACATACATACCAATACAACATCATACAACAGGTTCTTTATGAACAGGTCCATGAATGTCCGACATGGTCAGCGAAAGGTGACTTGGAAGTTGTTGTTGTCGTGCATAGAAGAGGGCTGCATAAGGAAATGTTTCGGCAAAATCCTCTGGTCTTGTATAACATATGTGGAACACAGAAGTACTGACAGGTAAGTTTTTTTTGAACTTTGAACACGCAAAGTATAAAGAGGGTGCGGTGCTACCCTCTGTTGGACAAATTAGATCCACCAGCATCAGCGACCATCCAGTGACAGAAAGTGAGCGTCCTCAGTGCTGGCCGGCAAGATCATGGCCTGGCGTGGTCTCGAACCCCGGCTACACACCAAACCAGGTAGGTACCTTTTAATTCTAATAGCTTCTTGTTCCTAGTAGTAAGGCCAGGAGCCCCTAGTAGCTTCTTTGCTCCTAGTAGCGATGCCCTTTGCTCCTAGTAGCGTCCTGTAACAGGTATAGACACAAAAGACCATGGACATATGGGTCTGATCTTGAACAGAGAAGAAGCCGCTCGCATTTCCAGTGAGAGCCTGGGTAGCGTTTGGACCGGAATTCCGACGGTTACGGTTGGTCCGACGGACCTGGGGCGGCTTCAACTCACCTGGACAGTTTTTGTCTGTGATCGTTTAGCTGCTAATTGATTGTTACACTGCGCAAGAACATGCGATCCAAACTCTTAGCTGCTTAGCTCTGTTTCTTGCATTTGCCCACTAAAGACCGGTTTGTTTCGTTTAATTTAGGGTGTTATTGGTTTATATATTCTTTGATGCTTTGGTCGGCTTCAGCCTCGAGGCCAAGCTTATTCACTAAGTGAGGATGAATTTTTTCTGACCCTCGCCAACAAAAAATACTGCCACGCATCGATGTTGAAGAGCTGTCTATATATATTATATAGCCAACCCCGGGCAGGATGCAACATGCGAGTGCTCCAAACAAGTCGTCGTCCAGGCAAGCGATTGCAGGGTCGTCTACGGACCGGCAGCGATCCTGCCTTGTATGGCCCGTCGATCTCAAAGAGGATGGAATTCTGACTTGAGGTCTTCCAACTGTTGGTCTCTTTGTCCCTCAGGCTCAAAGGTCTGGACCAATGACCAAATGGATATGGGTATCGGTATGAGCATGTGAAACAGGTTTGAGTCTTGTCCAAAGCATTCTGCAACACCTTCTTCTCAAAAGAGTTCGGGGCATATGCCCGACAGTCACCATCCGGTACGTTGTTTGAGTATAGTCAAAAGCCATTTCAGGAAACATGTTCACAGAACAATCATCATCGTCCAACAAAATGTCAACGCTAGTCTGTCTGCACTAACACACACACACACACACCTTTGGCCAGGTTCCAGACCAATCTTGATACTGGTGGTTGGTGTACTTCTGGTGCACGCGGAAATTCAGCACGCAGTTTGGATAAGGCATCTTGATCTGCCGGGTCGCTCAAATGTAGTTTGGTTGCATCGAAGCGGCAACTTGTCAAATGATCCTTTGCCAAGCCTCTTTTGACTGCAGCATGAATGAGTATAGCGATTGGTCAACGAAACAATAATCTATGTCCAAATCTACCACTGTCATCTTCTGTATCCTTCTGATGTCCTCGCCTACAAAAGCTTTCTTGAAAACTGGTTGCCGGGAGGGATTGTTTGTCTTGGCTATCTGGTTTTCTGTCTTCAACTGTCCTCTTGAGGGAGGCTAATTGTGCGACAAACCCCAAAAGCAGGTGGTTGTTTCATCCACTTGCAAAATTAAATACATATAAGCTCAATGAGTAAGGCATGTCCACGCAAGAGTTAGGCTCCAGCACATCCCCGCCTCTTTGCCACCCTTCCTGGGGCAAAAAAAATTGCCTGTTCCAACGACCTAACATGACCTATAGCTCACTTGGATGAGAACCTGTGACTCACTGGTCTTGTACCCCCTGACACTTACTTCCAGGAATATGGGCAAACATGTGCTGCAGTCTTAGTCTTTCGAACACACAGATCAAACAAAGACACTGTTTGCAGGGAAAATGAACATGAAACTTGAGAATTTGAATAAGTGTCTTCCAGTGCAGAATGTGTGAGCTGCTCCAGAAGACATTAGTCATTGGATAGCAAGAAACAATTTGTATTGTACATCCTGCATATGTTTTAGCCCAGAGAAACGGCCCTCACCTCCGAGTCAAAGTGTTGCTTTCGATTACAATATCTCAAGCACACACACACTTTGACTGTGTGCTAACTGTGTTCCACGTCGAAAAGGGTGAGGGAACGGAATGGCGCAACATCAGCTCAGCCGAAATGTTCAACAATGTTTGACGCGTGAGGGAAAGCGGCTGAGGAAAAACCTGTTTTGGGGTCTATCATGAGAACAACCATGGCAGCAAAACGAAGAAGTGGACAGCGTGGTCAACAGTTGAAAGTGCAGGTACACAGGGATGATCAGTCCTGCATCCTGGTCGACTGCATGGAGCTTCGTTGGCGACAGCCATGCAGCGACCCTGTCGCTCCCTGCAACTGTGGCGAAAAAGTTTAGACTCTTGGGGACAGAGGGGGACACACACACACAGATGTTGCTGGGGATGGGCATTTATGACCAAGCATCATCTTAATCTTGAAGGTGTCCGGAAAGCTCTTCGGCAGAAGGCACCTGACTAGCACACGCCCAGCTGAGAAGGTGTGGCAGTTGGTGGGGCACCAACCCCAGCTATTGTACTTTCGACAGCAAATCCAAGGTGAGGTGTCGCTTGGATCAACAATGACATATGCCAGCAACAAAACATAAATGTATGTATGCTTGAAACCGTATTGAATCCCACCTCGAATGTTTCAGTTGAATGTCAACTGAGATACATATCCTGAACATGCGGGAGGTCTCAAATGTACAAGGAAATCATAGGACCCCCCTGCATCCTTTTCTGAGGTATAGTATAGCAACCAACGCAAACAAACGTCTGGCTCCAAGGTCCTTTTCCCAAAGGATGCATTGCTAGTATCTCTATGGTTCTTGACTTCGGAGATTGGCAGTGGCCACAAACATGGACATCTTGGTGCAACTGTCCGAGCAACAAAAAGCAAAGTGTGGGCTACATTCAGTTGTGTCATTTGGTCACACCGAGTTTTAGGGTTTGGGTCACACTCTAAACACACATGCAATGGGGTTTCTGGCCACACCCCACCTGTGTCATCCGCGACCACACCGAGGCTCCAGGCCAAATGCCGTCCGTGTCAAGCTCCAAAGGAAGCCCCACCTGCTCACAGAACTCCCGTGCCTGCGAGACGAATGTGCGGGCCGATGGATGCAATACACTCACTGTTTACATGGAAAACGGCAGCAGAGCCTAATTATGTACATGTCTTTACATACAAAATGTAACCTGAGTAAACACTCAGAGATGCTCTGATGTCCATGGCTGCTGTCCATGGAGTCCAGATGCTGTGACATTGGCCAGAATTCATGTGTGAATCTGTCTCAATTCACTGGGGAGGGGGCGGGTGAGTTTGGTGGTATCGAATGCCCACCTTCCAAGCTAAATGGACAACACATATTCTCCAAAGAAGCCTTGAGAAAAAGATATGATGCATCCTATTGGGTGGCCCTCTCTTAGGCTGTCAGGGAGGGAGAGATCTTCGAAGCGCCCCTTGGCAGCTGTGTTTCCCACAGGCCACCTTTTCGTGTTTGTATTCACCGCTACATAGAGTAGCGAGCGCAGGATACTACAAAGCGCTGCAAAGCAAGTCCAACAAAAACAAAAAGTGAAGGCACTCCGACATATGCAAGTATTGCTCGACTTGGATTCACCAGTTCAATCAACTCAAAGAAATCGTCTTGGCTGAACTACCTGCTTCAACTCCGAAATCGTGCAGCCGCGGCCTCTCGAATGAGATTGGCGCCAGTGTAAGTGACCTCAATCAGAAGCGTCTGGAATGCCGCTGGAAAGATCTCTAACACCGATGTACAAATGCTGGAAACAGTATCAGTTCAGCTTCCTTCTGTATCAAGTCAAAAGCCATCCTATACAGCCTATACATAATCCGATCTAATTCACACACCGGTGTTCTACTAGTAGCAGCCCAATGATCCTTGATTTGGGAGAGATCCAAGATGATCCAAGTCTCCATCACCGATGTTTCAACACATGAGACCAAGCTGTCGGCAATGCCAGCCATCTTCATGGAATGCCAGCGAGCTCCCTGGCTCGCACCCGTGCAAACAGGTGCTTGGAGTTGATGAGCACCGATGAGCGCCAATGATCCAAACATATCCAAACACATATGCAAAGTCAATCAAATTCATACATGTTCATATGACTCAAATGACTCTAAGTTAGGTGAACCCAAGGACTATAAGCTGCCTTACCTTCCTGAAGAAGCCAGCTCAAGGATTTCAATAAGACACGATGTGCAACGTTCGTCTTCGGAAGTTCAAACGTGTCCCGTTGGATACTCCCTGGTGGACAGCTGGCCTTTCGCATCACATAGCCATAGAAGGAGTTCAAGATGCACTTGTGTGCCAGCCTGGACAAGGCACCCCAAATAGTTCCATTCCTGTCTCCTATTTGTTGCTTGCCGCTCCAGGATTGGACTGCCCAAGCAATGTAAAGCTATACAGTATATACACAGCCAGTGTGGTTCCATGATCTGGTAGGGCGGCAAAAAATCAAGTTCCTTGTTTCAACATGTTTCGACTCGGATCTATTTGGTCGCCCCACTGCAGGGAGTCGTTGAGCAGCACCATGTCCTGAGAACTTTGGGCCATGCGTCGGGGGCAAAGCCCCTTTTTGCACAGGGACCTGGTCAGGATGTAAACCAATATAAGAGACGTCTACGTCTACGTGGGACCACGTTGACTTACAACCGAAACAACCTGAAACACACCTCGAATTTATGTTGCCAGCCAGGCATTGCCAGCTTAAAATCAAACTCAACACCTGGATTTCTTCACCGGAGTTGGGAAGTTGAGGCGGCTGAGTACCTTAGTCTGAACATCTCCGGCCTTAGCTTCTGTCTTAGCCACCATGTCTCCGCCTCAGCGGCGCTGGGAGCGATCTCTGTTCACCCAATCAAGCGGTGCTGCGGCGCTGTGTGGATGGAAACCATGGAGGACCCACTGTAATGTGGTTTCCACCCCTTCCCCTGGCTAACACCCCAAGAGGACACTCTAGACTCTATAGGTCTCTGCATTCAACACGTGGCATCTTCACCTCCTGGAAGTCGCGGAGCTATGGCAGCTTTGGCCTTCAAGAGTGGCACGGCACCGCCGGCTTTTCCGTCATCTTGGTGAGAAGCTCAGATGTGGCCATGTGCCACATGCTCTACTTGTTCAAGCCTTGGGCAAAGACTTTGGAAGCTCGATGTTGAGGGGTTTGTTTAAGTCACAGGCCGGGATGTGACTCTACAATGTGTTATATATAATATCATACTGTACATATATATATATATTATATATATCATAGTTCTGCGTGGAGTTTCACTAGTTAACGAATCATCGAGGAAACCTGGGACCTGCAGCACCCTTCTCTATGTACATCACACGAGGCAATGTAATGTTTAGGGAGTCCAGGCAGGAATCTCAGGTAAAGTTTCAGGTGAGCTGACAGGAGTTGGTGTGGTCGGTCCTTCTGTTAGAAGAGTTCCTGCACCAGTTCCTCCATGCAGGTGTATCCAACACATGCAGTGGTTTCCAAGATGTGTCAGGACTTTGGTGTGGGTGCAGGACTTCTTCTGTGTGATAGGTGGTCTCTAAGTGTCTCTAACTTTCCATGTTCGACATGAATGTGTTGTGAGGAACGCTTCATGTAGATAGACCAACTGCCTGTCAAAGAAAACAAACATGTCCCTATCACCTCAATATTGATAGCGTCTTGCCTCGTGCAATCTCTGGGGGGAAGCCGGAGCATCACAGGTGGTGCACGGTTTCCACCTTGGCTTTTGCCTGTGACTCCCAAGATTCCGAGCTATCTAGCTGCCAACCAGAAAGATGCTGAGTTCAAGAGAGACAGCAAGTATGGTGCCAAGATCAGGAAGACTGTAACGTAGGCCAAGGTCTTGCCTCGAGACAGTGTCTGCAGCTGGACTACAGTTTACTCATCTCATCTCCTTAGTCACTGCCTTGCAAAGCTCAGTTAGACCAGAAAGTACCTATGATTCCTCCAACTGTGGGTAATCAACACCACTATGTTTTTTTTCTCACAGCCGCTGCTGAGAATGTGACTTTGGACTTTTGACTGGACGGATGACGGATGGAGACACGGGTCGGTCATTATAGTTAGAACTAGGCCTCGGATTCAATTGAACGGGACCGTTATGGTGGGTGACAATCAAGCGTGCAAGCGCGATCATCATTTGGACTTAGAAAGTGCCAGGGCCAGTTCCCTGCTAGTCCCACCGAGTGTTTCCCCAAGGACTCAGTGCCTTAGCTAACCACCAGAAACAATTGGACCCATCACATAAAGCGACCAGTGACAATTCATCCACTTGAGCTCGAAACGTCACATTCAAAAGAGCTGCGTGGCAGGATCGGGTCCAAGATTTTGGAGACCGGCCGTCCTTCCTGCCATGCAAGTTGTGTAGAATGACATACTCTATATCAGTCACATGAGTCATGCGAGTCTATGGAAAAAGTTGTATTGCAACAAGACTCGACATGTCTGGACACCCAAAACACACTAGACAAATATATGCCCTGGTATTGCCCGTCCTGAATTGTTTTTCAATGTTTTTTCATTACTTTGGTTTGGTCGTAATCCAAAAACTTTTTTTTTTAATGAAGCACGATCCAAGACAGCAAGTCTCGCTTTTGTTTCTCAACCTGTCTCACAGTTTGTTCAGCTTGGATAGTCAAGCTCGCCTTCACCCATGGATAACGAACAAAAACAAATTGTTTGCCTTGCTGGACTTACTTGATGTCTCCATACGATTTGCTCCACAAGGCAACTGCCCGGATTTTAACATTGAGCAAACGCCGCGCCTAACGAGTGGTTGCATGAAGTAAGGATATGAACAGCTGTCGGCAATCAAACACGAAGTGCTTCCCAAATCGGCACGCGAATCTGTGGCAATCAACCGTGAGAGAAAATCACTACTTCCCCCCAAACAGCCAAACAGCAACAAAGCCTCTGTTTTCAGGTGCGCACCTCGCCGTGATTCCAGGTCTTTCGGGACCTCCCGGCCCAGGACGCTTCCTTTGGCCGCCTGCGTACAGCTCCGATTCCGATTTGGGTTGTTTCTAATAGCAAACATTGTTACTACTAGTAAGGCACTTGTTACTAGAAGCGATGCACTTGTTAATAGTAGCTTCTTGTTTTTAACATCATCCAACATTTGTGTCCATTTGGGTGAGTGAAATCACCCCAAGCGAGTGACAAACATGTTTGTAAGTGGACCACCTATGATGCCTATCTTAAAGGTGTGTTGCTTCTTTGTCCTCGCAAGTCTCTTGACATTGCTTCATAGGAGATCATGGGGAAACTCTGTGCAAGCACAGCAAAGTCTAAAACTATATAAGAAGTGTTACAAGAAAACTGAAAGATCTGAAAGGAGCACAGGTAGATGGGGCGGTCCAAAACAACTTCCAAAACATGCTGTTTTTTGTGAACTTTTTGTGATCTCATATACACACAGTCATCCTGTCACCTTCGCGATATTTAGAGACGTTGTTCCATAATCAGCCATGTCCCTGGCCATGAATCAAAAGCTTGTGCTGCCACTGCACCCCAATGATCAACCGAGAGTTTGCCATTGACCTGCATGACGCGACTACAGCTCTACGAACGACGGACGCCACATCGCTCAGATTCCTGGTCCGCGCTTGCCTGCGATCAGTTGCACCTCACAGGCGGAGTAGGTGGACTACTATCTGTTCTGTCCATGTTTGCATCGCTACATACAGTAAGGTGAATAAAACACTCGTACTTAACCGAAGGAGAAAATCTGGTGGCAAGGGCAACTGCTGAATTCTCAATCCTTCTAAGAACTTGTTGGCATCGCTGTACCTATGCAGGTGTTGCCGTTGGTGGTTTAACATCCAAACTCACCCCGCCCAGTATTGGAGCCACCTGCGTCTAGTTGAGGATTTCTCTCCCACCACAGCATGACCTTACATCTAAAACAGGGCAATGCTGCACGACAATCTGCACAGCCACAACAAATCAGTCTGTCGAAGGGCAAATCTGACACTGCAGTTCAAGAACGAAACCAATCGACATCCAACCGAGTCGACTGACCATCAATCAACCCCAAAACTTCCAAACCAAAGAAACAACCCAGCAACTCCAAGCCAACTGATCCAAACTGCCCCGAAAAATGACAAAAAACATGAACAAACTGATCCAACTGATCCAACGGTGCTCTGGTCCGTGTGACTGTCTCACTGGAGGCGTCTCCCACCTTGAAGCATGCTCTTGTAGGCTTGCTGCACAGCCAGGAATCGTCGTGGAGCCTGTGACGGCCCCGACCGGGCCAACGTCGGCAGGACACGAACGTGTCGGGCACACACGGCACGGCAGGATGTGGAGGCCGACTGTCGGAGACCCAAAAACAGGAAACTCCAAACGAACGTGCCGTTCGCGGATCTGCGCTGAACAATGCACCAGCGACGACGACTCGTGATGGCACCCTCATGGCTGTCCTTGTCGAACTCCACATGATACACATATTGTACTGCTGGTCAAATAGGGCTCCAACAAAGGATTCCTCCCACCTATGCACATGCGAGGTCAAACAAGGCAACCCTTTTCCCACCCTGGTGAGAAATGGATCCGAAGTCCAAAGAATATCCTTCTACAAAGAAATCCTAATGGATGGATCAAATCCTAAACACAGTCCTGCTGTGGTCGGGGTCTGCATGTTCCTTTTCCATATTATTCCGCACCGAGCCATGCGGGTCCATTCAAATATCCGGTGGGATTTCTCCACGCCTCTTGAGACTTGTCCACATCTGGATGGTATTTCAGCGCCAGCTGGCGATAAGCAGACTTGATTTCTTCTTTGCTCGCGCCTCCAGCATAGGTTTGGGCTTCAAAACGAAATGCGATCTTCGCAAGATGAAATCTGGTGTGCACTGGGCACTGAGTACGTGTTTACGAGAACCCCTGAGGACTTGATCTGCCATCCAACCCTTTTCCCAGTAATGCCCTTGTTCCTAGTAGCGATGCCAGGAGCCCCTATATAATAGCTTCTTGTTCCTAGTAGTACGGCCAGGAGCCCCTAGTGTCCTTGCTCTTAGTACCAAACGTCAGGTGGCACATGTTCGGCTCTTCAACCCCCGCGGCAGCGTGGCGCACCGGGCGCCTTCCGAGACGCCCAGGACTTGCCACGCGGCAGGAGCACGCGCGCTGGCGCTCCGTGGGGCTGCGAAGCACAGCGGCATCGCCCGTCGGCATGGAGCAAAAGAGGGACCCGTCGGTGTTGAGTGTTCATCGTTTTTGCCTGTTTGCTCTTTTTTGGACCATAGTGCCACTGAGGTTGGGATGAAAGAAGCACATATTAGATTACCGCTGCGGGTGCATTGGCTACTGCAGCTAAAAAAGCTCGTCGAGTGAGTCGAGTGCTCAGTAATAGGCAGTATCTGATCTCTTGCCAAGTCCCCATGACATGCTGTCCCCCGCGAGGTAAATATGACAAATACAATATCCATAGAATAGTTCCAGCTGTCAATATGATTCAGCATCGTGCAGTTTCTATTGAGCCAATGGCACAGCCTGAACCCAAACAAAGAAATCCTTGTCAGCACAGCACACTCGTCTACCCGTTCACCGAGTTTATAAATCCAAACGAGCCATGTTTGAAGTTCGAACACTGAATCTTCTACACACAACAGGGTTTTCACCAACCAAAAGCATGGTAAGGTCACAAAAAAAAGAAAACACGGTCACAACCTCTGCCTATTCAATTGCCGTAACCCAAACTACCTCCACGGGACCATTGTAAATATGTTGGACCAAATTCGTCATTTCAGTAAGTATGTCCCATCCAAAAAGAAACCTTGCCACCCATGCTCCCAATACCCGTGTCCTTCACAGTGCACCAAGTCAGCAGAATCTATATAGCGATGCCCTTTGCTACTAGTAGCTTCTTGCTCCTAGTAGTAAGGCCAGGAGCCCCTAGTAGCTTCTTGCTCCTAGTAGCGATGCCCTTTGCTCCTAGTAGCGTCCTCTACACCCCCCAAGTCACTTATGGTCCAGGAGTCTCCAGAGTCTGAAAACTGCCTCTACTCCCTTGGTCTCCGGACTCTCTTCCGCCTTCTCCAGCTTCTTGTTCCACTCTTTGGTCTCACCAAAAAGCAAACGATTAGCCACTGCCCCGCAAAGGTCTTACAATCTGGGTCACAAAATTTTGGGGTAAGCTTCATATGTCCAGGGTTGGCGGTGGGAGCCATGTTCGCGATATGTTTGCATGAACCTCTGTGTTTATAAAGGTACAGTTTTTTGGTGCCTACCTGCAAACCCGCACAGCTAGTGGGTGCCTCAAGATTTCCTTTTTTCAGCAGGAAGGCATCACTCAGTGCGAGGCAAACTGATACATATGTACCCCACAATTGCCATATGTATATATATATATATATAACTTAGCAACTATATACATTATCATATACCCTAGAAGTCCAAAGACTATACAGTATTGTGACCGACTGAGTTAAAGGAAATTGCTTTTCGGGTCATCTAAAGACCATTTTTTTATGCAATGATCTTTGACTCCCAGGGTATACATACAGTATACATAGACCGCCATCGACTGCAACATCCTGCAGCAGGAGTTCTCAAGCCTTGCAGCTGAAGGTTGTCAGGTACAAACTGTGAGGTATAGAAAAAACACAATTGTGGAACATGATCTGCTGAAAGGCAAAACCCTCTGTAACACAACAGTCTGCTAGCTTGTGGCCCCTGAAGAAAGGCCTGTCTTCTAATGCATGTCTGAGACGAAGTGCTGCTTATTGCTGCTAACTTACAAGTCTTCATCACGGTATTTCCAAGAGCTCTTATGTTTATGTACTTCCCTCATCTTCCCTGTTTATATTACATTATACATATGTTAGCCATACTTGTACACGTCCAATATGTGGTTTTCATTTTAAAGTCGAGCAAATGGACCTGCACCAACACCCGCGGCGCTCCCACCTGTCGCTTGAACATGTAGCGGCGGTCGCGGAAGTTCAAGACCTTCGATGCTGTCAGGCTGTCTGAGGGAAGCCAATATGCATCAACTGTAAGAGTAATGAAGGAAGTTTTCTCTCATGAGAACAAATCCTTCATTACTCAATAATTCAATAAGGTATCAATGTACGGGCCCTAAACATGCTAGCAAGTTGTTTGTATTTTTTTACATCGGTATTTCATGATAATTGAAACATGCCAAGGATAGCGTAGCTGCTTCGAGGTCGGAGCACATGAATGATCGAAGAAGAGAGACGTGTCCGATGAGAACTCTCAGGTCTGGACAGTGTTCACATAGAAAGGATTCTCCCGCTGGCAAACAATGTCTCTCTTGTCCTGACTCTTCTGATCGCTCGGACAGAACACAAGAAGAGGCACCAACAAAAGGTTTGGTTGGTGTCATTGGGACCCCCCCAAAAAAGCTGTGTATTGTATAATTACAAATCATTGCAGTAATACAAAAAGACCGCTCACAGCGCTCCCCTATCACATGCATGGCTGCGGTGCTTTGCGTGAGATTCGGATGTCCTCATAGACCGAGCTCTTCAGCCTCTTGTAGGCTTTCTGCGAGAATTGACGCACCGCCTGCAGCAATTGCGAACTGTTTTAGCACTTAAAGGACATCGTGGTTGGTGTAAACTATGAAGGAACCTAAATTACCTAACAGGATCTCAGGATCCAAAACCTCATATACATTGACTTAGCTAACTTAGCTCTGGCTCAAAATGATCAAAACCCTGCTGTATGGTTACAGTTGGGGCTTGCCTTTGCCAAAAGACTCCTGGTGGCTCCCCCAACGCATAGTGCATCTCGATAATCCGATCGTTAGGGAAGCAAAACTGGAGATGCACAGATCCCCTGCCAAACCTGCAGTTTGAGTGTCATGCATACTATACAATGCTGTATTCCAAGCGGCACTGTTCTGCTTACTTGCAGAAAGCTGCTAGAGCTTGCTAGATCAGGGTTCACTTCAGTCCGAGGTATGTACCAAGTTGGCTTCTAAATGTGGACACCTTCGGCGGTGTGCATCACGTGAACACCAGGATGTTTTCTGATAGCTGGCTTGCTGTGTACCAAACCTTGCAAGCCCTGAAAGTTCCTTCTTTCTCACAAGCAATAACACGAGGAAAACACAATGAATATGGAAACAACACATCAAATATACACTACATGCAACACCTGAGCCGGGCAAGTGTCTTGCCTTTGTGATCTCCTCAGTCTGTTCCTTCGGATGCAGCTCGCTCCACCTCTGCACGCTGACGTATCAGGACAGGGGCATTCACCAGGGTAGGCCATGGTAGGGCTGATGTCGGATCTCAAGAACAGCAGTATAGTAGTAGTAGTAGTAGTAGTAGTAGTAGTAGTAGTAGTAGTAGTAGTAGTAGTAGTAGTAGTAGTAGTAGTAGTAGTAGTAGTAGTAGGAGTCGGAGTCGGAGTCGGAGTAGTAAGATCCACAAGATCTACATAGCCACAAACAAGGCAAATCAATGTCACCTGCTTCGCAAATCTTAGCAAGAGCTTCTTGTTTCGATTGCGATTTGTGTATGTCATGTGGAAATGGCAAAAGTTTTGGATTTGACCCACCTTCGACATCATCACGCCCGCTTGGATTAGAGCATAAAAGGTGCAATGAGGGACAAAACTCACAACGGGTATATTATAATAAGCAATGGTCAAACAGTGAATCGTAGCAAATCTTCAAAAAGGCCTGACTCGCATCTCCCTGCAAAAGACATTGAACCTCAAAACATGTCTACCGAAGATGCTTTCCAAGGCCCCTTCTCAGCGGGCTTTTGCCTAGGTCCCCGACTTTACTCGCTTGGTCTCGCCAGTCTCCTTGTCCTGACTGGGGAGCTTGGCTCCGATCTGCAAAATAAGCTGCTGACTCCGTAGCGACACCCACCATCAAAGGTGCATGTGTTGAAATGCCGAAACCTATGATGAAGGCAAAGGCTAATGTGCCAATCAAAACATCCATGCATTTGTAAAGCCACACAGACAAATGTTTGAATTGTTAGGTACTGTTGGCTTCCTACTTGGTTTACTGGGAGGCAATGGGGATCCACTGTCACTCAATGTTCTCCTTGGAGTTGTATCGCCGTTTCTCGCTTTCCATCTCGTTAATGATGGCTTTCACGTCGGCCCTGCAGAAGTCCAACGATGGAAACAAAGCGTACCCACAACAAAGGCTCGAGACACACCAACAATAACACTATACAATCAAAACACCAGTTTGCCACGTACAAGCGCGACCGAAACCTGGTCATCCATTGGGTACGAACCTGTTACCCGTTATCCAAAGATAATTCAACCACGCAATGTTGAGCACTGAGTTCCCTAAGCTAAGGGCATCGCTACTAGTAACACGGGCATTATACTAGTAGCAAGAAGCTACTAGTTACTAGAAGCTACTAGGGGCTCCCGGCATCGCTACTAGGAGCAAGGACGCTTCTAGGGGCTCCTGGCCGTAGTACTGGTAGGAAGGTTCGCTACGATCGGAACAAGAAAAGCCGTCGCACCTTGTGGCCATGTAGAGATCCCCTCGCCACTTCCAGTCCATCTCTCGCTGGCAACTGAGACATCGACTTCAAGAGTTCACCCGTCAACGTGAGGGACAAGTAGGGTTTGAGAGCAGCTATTCACACTGGGAGTAGGAGCAATCTTAGTAGTAGGACTTAGTAGCAAGTAGTAGGACTTAAAAACCTGCCAGCAAGTACAGTAGTAGGACTGACTTAGCAATCTTAGTAGGAGCTCCTGAGGTTCTCTCTGGGAGAGTTGTCTCTGGGTGTACAAATCGGGATTCCATGATGCTTGGAGTCATTAAGGTGGCGCAATAGTGTAGGATTGCCAAACCGAGTCGAAACTGTGTTCATTCTGACAAGTGCGGAACTGCATCTGACATGCTGGGCTTCTAGCTTGTTGGAAGGGTCATTGTAACTGCCTCAGGCTCCATGATGATTGCTCAAGCGTCTCGCAGACTCACACCTGTCGCCTGTATCTTAGATTGATCCGATTTGCAACTTGACCTCCAAACCATAATGTATACTTCTCCAGCCTATCTTGATGTTCCTAATCAGCGTCGGGTCCTAGCAAACGATGAAATATCGCTGCAAAGTTCATTCTTCGGATGGAACAAGGCTGGCTGAGCGTGGACGTCAGGTCAAAGGACCACCGTTGTCCCCAAGTCTGTCTCCCGAAACCACACACTGAAGGTGTATAAGGTCTGATGGTCACACACTGCCGAAGGAGACCTATCAATGGCAATCAGTATCAATTGGCCATGGAACAATGGCCGCTTCCCTCGCCATGTGCAAGTTCACTACAAGGATATTCAATACTCCTTTCTTCCACTAGTAGGTTGGAGGCCACCGCTATTAGGTTGGAGGCCATCGTCATTAGGTCGGAGGCCATCGTTATTAGGGATACTCTCCCTACAAGGTCTCTTCTTCATTTCGCTTCTTCGGCATGCTCACTTTTCGTCCGAGCTGATGCGATTCGTCTCAAGTTCAGCGGTTGTTGAAACCGCGACAATTGGAACATATGTTGGATCAGAGCTTCTCCAGCTCGTATTTTGATCTATGTCTGTTGGCAATGCTGATTGTTGGACGCTGCGCTTCTCTGTCTGATTCTTTTTTCCAATATCACAATGCAAGCTTGATTCGGTGGTGCCCTACCTCTCCATTAGCCCTGCCCCCAAACATCGACGAGGTACAGGAGTTGCAAAACTCCTGGGTCACCTGGGCCGATCTGGAAAGCCGCTATATATCGTCCGTATAGATCAAAGAAGTACACTTGAAGCACAAAGTCTACCAATCTCAGGCAATCTCCTATAAGCTTTACAGTGCTTTGCAGGCTGGGAACCTCAACAATCCTAAACTGAGCTTCCAACGATGGCCATCGGCTGCAAGCGGTTGGACAAAATGATGTTGGGGTACCTGGGAGCACGAAATCACCTTGACCACTTCCGGATGGGTGGTACTACATGACCCATTGAAACCGGACTCACATGTGGCTCAATCTCTCCCTGCCCATCGGAAGCGCGGTGGAATCCGTATACCAGAGCACATAGCGCCCACGTCCAAGTGGTAGATCAATGGAAAATCATCCTGCAGCGATTCTCTTGCTGTAAACATTGTCCAAAGCCTTATCATGTCTTATCCGAAGTACCCGAGAAGTACAACTTCCTTGCACTTCATCACCTCCCCCACCATCTCATACGGGTGGACAAGAAGCAAAAGCACTACAGCAATGAGACATCAAACGTCCAACCCCCAGCACCTTCACCACACGGTAGGACGACTTCTTCACCTTTTTGCCACCAGACTTGATGCCGCCTTTACCTAAAAAAGAGGGAAGGCTGCAAACGTTGGGGAAAATGGATCTCACTTGCTACGGCCTGGTGTACATATTGCAGGACTGTTATCGAACCCACTTATATAGAAAGAAAACCGCGATGATCCACTTCTGAAATTGCTATGAGAGCAGCATTGGAGCAGTTCAAGCCGGTGAAGTTGATTGACCAGTTCGAGGTTGACTTGCTCCATTTACCAAAGTGTTTTCAGTTGAATGCCTCAAGGATGTTGGTTGACATCACTGCTGATTTCCGAAAACACACAGGCCTTCAATGATCTCGTACTCCACCAGCTGAAGCTGGTATTCCTCCTCTTTCTCGGCCTGATGCACACTGAGACATGCTGAGGATAGGCAACATGCTACATGACATGCGCTGCCACATCGTCCCTCACACACACAACGCTTCGTCTGCATCGAATCACACCGATGGCATCGGACCGACCGATGCGGTCGCACCTCGGGCGTCGGCTTCTTCAAGGGCGACTGCTCCTGACTCAAACGGCCCAGCTGCGCAGCCACCTCCGCAGGGCGCAGTGCGCGATGCGAACAAAAGAGGCGGACAGCAGTGACTGGGAGAAATAGCTGGAACGTGTTTTGCTTTCCAGCTCAAACAATGGTGTCAAACCATCTTCTGCAGCTGTTGTGCTAAACCTGTTGCTCGCATGCAACTGCAAGGTACAAGCAACTGCATGTTTCGCAACCAATCTCGGTAGTGAGTGGAAAACCAGGCAACTACGGATGATGGCAAACCGATCTCGTAGTGATTGCAAAAGATCCTTAGGGGCAAAGCAATAGCTCTGCACGAATCAACACTCCATCAGTGGCTGCACGACGGGGATCTGTGGTGAATTCGGCTCAATAGGTGAAGATCATCCGATCCCTCCGCCTCTCATCAGATCCCTTGTCCGAAATCAAAGCTTACGCGCCTTGTCTGGGTCACAAAGGGCTCGCAGCTGCTTCTCCACTTCTGCCAGCACCTCCTCATAATTCTCCACGTCTTCAATCTTCACCTGGAGATGATATGGGCCCATGTGGGCCCCAAAACTTGGTGGAAGCACCATGAAACCATCAAAAAGGACATATTGATAAATCAGTTATAGAACTGGCACTCCAGCACTTTGGATGATTTACGAGAGATTGGGGGATGGGGGATGCTCCAGAAATGGATGCATCATTGTGGCCTCCCTGACGTAGCAAGGGGACAGTGACATGATCCTGTAGTTGATGCAGATTGGACTACCCCAGAGTCCTAGCATAGTGGTAAAGGCAGCATTGACACTTGATCTGTGCCGATTTTAAGTAACTGCTGGCTTATACAGTCATTCTGGATGTCAGTAGGCACAAAAGTATATAGAATCGAGTAATGGTCCAGAAGACAAGCAAGACCAACTAGAAGACTACAAGACCAACACCACATCATTCCAGCCTTCTCCTCCTGTGTCAAGAAGAAATCCACCTCGCTCGACGAACGACGCGGAGCGAATCTGTTTTGCTGCCTCGACATGCATGGACGTCTTTCAAATGCATACAGGGTGGCGACCCCAAATAATCAAATAGCAAAAGGTACAACTCTGTTCATGTTAGTGTATGCAAAGTCTGGGACATGGTTGCTGGAAAGACTTGCTTGGCCGCCAGGCCTGCGAACTTCAACAAATCATCTGTATCGTGACATGCCCTCTCTGAAGGGCATCTTCACCGCCAAAAGGCCAGCAAACCCTGGTGTGCATGCTACTGGAGGGCAAGCTGCCAACAGGGCCTGAGAGATCCCAAGATCACTAGACACACGGGTCAAAAAGTATTAACATCAAGGATCATCAGGATATTCTGGCACATTCTCAAACCATACACCTTGACCGTTTTAGATATTGCGTCGTATTTTCCTGGGTGCACGTCCGTGAAACCGAGCCGTGAAACCGGCGGACCGTACGACCGTACGATGTGCTGCCGGGCTCTCGGACGGTGCCCTTGAGATCATCCAGCAAGGTTTGGACCGCGGAAGGTTCGATCTTGAAAGTCTCCTGCGATCCGACGGGGCGGCATCTGACGGGCGGTTCAAGCAATCGGGGACGGAAGGAGGTGTTTTGTTTTTTTGGGGGGGTCAAACGTAGACCATCCAACTGGTAGGAAATGGACTAAATGTGACTGTTCTGTCTATCATGTGGTTTACTATATATGAAATAATATATATACACATATTATGATAATTCCTGTGTATACACACAGCCAGGAGAAAAGTTGGTAACAAACTTGTGAATACATAACCTTCAACCCTTTCCACTTAGAATCCTACAGGGGCCCGAGGTACATTTTTATTTATTGTAACTTAGTTCGGGGTGGAATCGGTGGAAACTAATCCGCCGGAATTCCATTGGGGAAAAAGTGATTTGATGTCAATGACATTCTTGAGAAAAGTTGTTACCAAACTTTCTGCCTCCTGAAGTATATATGTAAGTGTATATATACATATACACTTGTTACAGGTTTTTGTTGAGAGCGG